TCTCTCGTGTCGCTACAGGGTCACCAAAGGGCGGGTTATATTAACCGTTTGAAAGTGATCATTTTAAATGTTGAAAATGGGGAGTGACATTGGCATACATTGCATTCCATGTTATTTCATTATTTATATTAAGATTAACTATTATGTTGAGCTTTCTCGACATAGCATGACCCTGAATCCTATTGTTCTATTATTTGGTTGGATTCACGGGGACACAAGAAGCGTGTCTTAAGTGCCACCAGTTGAGCTTTTGCTCACCCCATTATACTTATCATTTTTCAGGTCATGGAAAGGAATTGGCGGATGATAATCCACCACAAAACTGACGGAGTATTGGAAGCCTTCATTTTACTGTTTTGTACTTAGGCCATACTTTTGTATATCTATTGTTTTGGAAATGTAATTAAGTCACCGGTTATGGCCTTGTAACATAAGAATGAAACTAATGTAATTAATGTGTATATCTCTATGTAATCGTAGCAAGTGATGTTGTAAGATGATTATATGATGGTACTTATGTTCATGATCATAGAATGTCTCATTTTGATGGTTTAGCTCAAGTATGAATCATTCTAAAGTCTCCGTCTTAGTTTTTTTTTCCTTTTATTTCCTTTTGGTAGTAGGTCAGTTGCAGCTTCAGGACTCGAGAAAGCCATTTTGGTCGACCGAAATGGTGTATCAGTCGACCGAACCATCTTCATACTCTTGGTATCTCACCTTTCAGTCGACCGAAGGGTTATTTCGGTCGACCGGCTTTGGAGGGTCTGCTTCGACCGACCGAAGCTCCACTTTGGTCGACCGAAGTGCACCTGTTGGGCTGTTTTGCTCTTCTTTCCTCATCATCCAATTCTTAACTCTTGGGTTATATTCTGAGCCTTTGGGAGGACTTAGTTTGATCCTATGTATGATGTTTTGATGTTGGAAATGATGGGTTTGACGTAGATGACCTCGGGTTCGGGCAAGGACCCGGTAATGATCCGGATCCACGGATTCGGGTCGTTACAGGAATGGTATCAAAGCCTTGGTTCGAGAACCTTTAGAACGATGGGTATAGGCCTGCATAGGATTGCATGGGATGTTGATTGGATTGTTTACGTGACTAATTGCTACTTGGTTATTACTTGAAGAAGCATGCTTAACTGCTTATGTGCTTAAATGTTTATGTTAAAATGTTTCTTGTATAGTTTTGCATGCTAAGTGTCGTCATGGCATCATTTCATGTTGAGTTATCCAAGGTGAACCTTAGCGTCATGTTTTGAACCATTTTCTCATTTTATAGCACGATGTCACGGCGCGAGGAACCCAGGGAACTTGGCCCAAGGCTGACTAGGGGTGATGTTGGTAAGAGCTCCAGCTCCAATCTGGATGAGCTAAATAATGAGGACACACTTCTTAGGGATTTGATTCCCCTGAGAGATGTCCCCACAAGGATGGATAATGTTAAAGCGCCCGTAGAGGTGGGTGAAGGTTCTGCGGCACTGGAGTTGAATCGTTTGCTGCAAAGTACCTTAAGGGCAACAATTGCTGCTCAGTCGCAGTCGGTACCACAACCTACAGTTCAAGTAGAGGAGACGCCAGCTTAAAAGCGTCTTACGATTATTAAGGGGTTTTCTCAGTTGATGCCTGTGATACCCACAGATTTCCGAAAGCGGGTTGGCCAGGCCCACACCCGAATACCCGAGGATATTAAAACAAAATCGATAATAAACGAACACAGAGTACAAAAGAATAAAGAAGAATAAATAAAATGCTGACAAGAAACTAAAATGATAATCTAATAATAAACCTCAGAATATATTTTCATTAATTAATAAACTCTTCTAATACAACTGATCCTCTAAAATACAACTCGGGAATCCATACTGTGTGGACCCCTAGAAAATCCAAACTAAACAAATGACAGCAATAACTGTCTAAATCAGGAAACTGAATCATAAAGGAACTCCTATGTAGCATCGGAAGAATGAAGTAGACTGATCCCCGCTCAGCACGAACAACCTTTACTCCTGACGAATATCTGAAAAATAATGGTGGGTCAGGCCCACAAACAAGTTCTACTTTACTACAGTCCAAGCAGAGATCCGATACACGTATACATCCTAGTCAATCCAACAGTAACTAGTAGTCCGTATATATATAAATATATACACACTAAAGGAACCTCACTAGACTATAGGGTTGTCTCAACCTGAATAGTAGGCAACATGCAAAACGCACATATAGTGGGCATGAGTACCTAAACCTACCAGGGTACACAACTACACTATATCTAACTATACATCCCTGGCAATATATGCACCCTAACCACTGATCCTGAGACTCAAGCTCATATCATGGTACCATACTTATATATATATAATCTAGTAACCATTCTATCCAGTATAAATTAATCATCCATAAGTCATTCAACTTGTTCAGCTGACCTGACTTGAATATAAATAGGACTTAACATTTTAGTTAATTCATTCCCTTATATAATAAATTAATCATCCATAAGTCATTCAACTTATTCAGCTGACCTGACTTGAATATAAGTAGGATTTAACATTTTAGTTAATCCATTCCCCTATATAAAATAGGTAGGACTTAACTGATAAGTTAATCCATCCCTAGAATGCCACCGTCCCATACCGGTGCATTAAACCACACAATCCAACAATTAATGTAACGATTAAGGAAATACATCAAACAATCCAAAAATAACTATGATAATATGATATCAAGTTATCACAAAATAGGAATGACTTATTATTTATTTAAGTTTCCTATATCACATGTCCTACATAAACTGAATCTTATACATATGATGATATTTTATTATACCGTCAAATAAGCATTCTCCATATCCAATTCATCCTACACATTTAATCTCAATTGCTAAAACATATTAAAAGATTAAATTCATTCATTTGTTTAAAACATTCAAATAGCAAGCATCATTATGATTGAGTCTATTTAAATTTATTTAAACCCAAACCTAGTTTCTATTTAATGTTCAGGAATCCTAGACATGTTTTTACGTTCCATCGTTCCACAGATATGAAAAATACATAATTTAAACATGTAAAAATTCACACTGGAAATCAAATCAAAATCATGCATTTATCAATTCATAACACAAGAACAGATATGAACCAAATTCATAAAACCTATGTTCTAATCCAATTAAACATGCATAATTATTTAATTTTATGTGTTTAATAAATTCTGGAATTTCCTAGGCATGTACAGAAACACGAATCAAAGGGAAAGAGATAGAAGAAGAACTTGCCTTAAACTTTCGAATCGAAAGTTAAACTTCTTCTTCCTTGATCTTCTCTCTACAGGGTTTTCTCCTCCTTCCTTCCTCTTTCTCCTTCTCTCTCTAACTCTTTCTCTATAGAATATATTACGTGATATATTTTCACTCATTTTTCAACCTATAGTTGTGTATTTATAGGCTAAATAATAACCATATTCCTTTTCCCAATCCAAGTCAACTTAATAAAAAAAAATAAAAAATGAAAATATTAAAAAGGTAACTTAAAATATGTTACGTATATAATCTATGTATATCCTTATTAATTAAATAAAATATATACATTAGATTATTTATTAATACTAAAGTTACCATAATATTAAAAGGTAACTTAAAACATGTTACGTATATAATCTATCTATATCCTCATTAAATAAATAAAATATATACATCAAATTATTTATTTATACTAAAGTTACCATAATATTAAAAAGTAACTTAAAACATGTTACGTATATAATCTATCTGTATCTTTATTAAATAAATAAAATATATACATCAGATTATTTATTTATACTAAAGTTACCATAATATTAAAAAAGTAACTTAAAACATGTTACGTATAACATATATGTATATCCTTATTATATAAATATATAAAATATATACATCAGATTATTTATTAATACTAAAGTTACTATAATATTAATAAATTACTTTCCTTTTTATATATATGTATATACATATATATCTATATATATACATATACAACTATCCATGGGTAATTATCCATACCCATCCAACCTCCTATCCAAGTAGTCCATGGGATCCAATTAGTTAGCCCATTACCACTAACCATAACCATAAAATAAAATAAAATAAAACATTTAATCATTTAATTTACAATTAATTACAATTAATCAAATACATCATTTAAGCACCCAATCTAATTAAACAAATAATACAAATAACACCTAAACAAAATACAAATAACACATAGATAAGTAACCAATTAATCAAGTAACACTTAATTCAATTAAACACATAAACAATTAGTCAAATAATCAATTAAACAATTAAAAAAATACAATAAAAATAAATAAATAAATACCGAGACTATCCTTTTAAAATTAGGGGTATTACAATGCCAGTTATGTTTGAGGGCGGTGCGGATCCAATAGTAGCAGACGACTACATGGATCAAGTTGAAACTCAGTTGACCTCAATGGATGTGACAGAGGATCACTTGAAGATCATCTTAGCTACTTACAAGTTTGCTAAGGATACCAAGTAGTGGTGGAAGTCGGTTACGAATTGGCATAAGGTGGAAGAAATGAGTTGGGACAATTTTAAGGAATTGTTTTACGAGAAGTATTTTCTAATTTCCAAAAGATGGGAGTTAAAAGACCAGCTTTTTGGCCTTATCCAAGGCAACATGTCAGTGGCGAAGTATGAGAATAAGTTCACTTCACTTTCTCGCTTTACTCTGGAAATGGTGAGAGATAAAGTTGACAAGACTTGGAAGTTTGTTTCCGGCTTTCATGACAGAATGAGGCCGTTGATAACGGCACAGTTCATCAAAGTTTATTCTGAAGCAGTAGAGAGGGCTTTGATGCTTGAGGCTGATATCAAAGACAAGGATGCAAGAAGGGAACAGTGAAAGCAAAAAAGAGGTGCAGGGCCATCTTCTTGGAAGAAGAATAAGGGTGGTTCGTTTCAGTTTTAGGGGCAATAGTCTGCACGATCCTCTCCTACCACTCCTATGCCAGCTGGGTTTGACAAGGGTGGAGTCGTATGTTTTCAGTGTCAGCAGCCTGGGCATTACAAGTCCAGTTGTCCAATGATATCGTCTTCAGTTTCTTTAGCTCCAAAGGTTTGCTATGGGTGTGACCAGCAGGGTCACTTGATTCGAGACTGTCCTAGTCAGGGAGCAGGCACCGGTAGTGGTAGAAGGTCAGGACAGAGGCCGTCATAGTCGGCTACAGTTCAGTCCGGTTTCAGACTGCCGCCACCACCACAACCTGCTATGTCTTCTCAGGGTTCATGACCAGTTAGGAGGGATGCCCCTACTGTATTGGTGTAGCAGTCCAGAATTCAGGGTGGCAGTTCTCAGGCACAGACACCGCAGGGACGTGTCTTTGCACTCGCACCGGTTGATGCATCTTCTGAACCGTTAGTTCTCCGAGGTATCTTTCCAGTGTTTGGTTCTTGGGCTCGCATTCTTTTTGACTCTGGTGTATCTCATTCCTTCATTTCATTATCATTTTCACTTGCATCTGGGTTAGAGGTTAGTTTCATGGATCAGGCGTTATGTGTTGATACGCCAGTTGGGGTTTCAGTGACTTTGAGCCGAGTTGTTCGGGATTGTTCCATTGTGATTGTCGGACGGACTTTTGTGTTTAACCTTATCCTCCTAGAGATGACTAGCTTTGATGTCATCCTCGGGATGGATTGGTTAGTTTTCTTTCGTGCCACGATTGATTCTTTTAGAGGTAGAGTTACAGTTTGCACTCTTGAAGGAGATTGTTTCTTTTTCGTGGGAGATCGGAGTGATTCCCACATTCCATCATTTTATGGAGTTCGTGGACGGAGGCGTGGTCATTATTTCTTAGCTAGTCTTCTAGCCAAAGAAGATAATGTTGTGGGAGAAGGCTATCCGGAGGTAGTTCGTGATTTTCTCGATGTGTTTCCAGAGGATTTGACAGAGTTGCCTCCACACCGAGAAGTAGAGTTTACTATTAACTTGATGCTCGGTACCGCGTCGATTTCTATGGTACCGTATCGAATGGCACCAGTTGAGTTAGAAGAGTTGAAGAAACAGCTTGATGATTTGAGGATGAAAGGTTTCATCTGACCGAGTGTGTCACCGTAGGGCGCATCGGTCTTATTTGCTAAGAAAAAAGATGGTTCTTTGAGGTTGTGCATTGATTACCGGAAGTTGAATCATGCCACCATCAAGAACAAGTATCCTTTGCCAAGGATAGATGATTTATTTGATCAGTTGAGGGGAGCCAGTTGTTTCTCGAAGATTGACTTGAGGTCTGGCTATTATCAGTTGCGGGTTAGAGATGATGATATCCCGAAGACAGTGTTCCGTATACAATATGGACATTATGAGTTCCTTGTTATGCCTTTTGGCTTGACTAATGCGCCAGCGGCATTCATGGACTTGATGAACCGCGTCTTTCACGATTATTTGGACCAGTTTGTGGTAGTTTTCGTGGATGACATTCTTACGTACTCACGGACTCGGGAGGAGCACGAGGTCTATTTGAGTACTGTTCTACAGATTTTGCGAGAACACCGATTGTATGCCAAATATGAGAAGTGTGAGTTTTGGCTACAAGAGGTGAACTTTTTGGGACACATTGTTTCGGAAGGTGGAGTATCAGTAGATCCATCAAAGATAGAAGCTGTTTTGAATTAGGAGCAACCGAAGAATGTTTTTGAAATTCAGAGTTTCCTTGGTCTAGCGGGTTACTATCGGAGATTTATGAAAGATTTCTCCCGTTTGGCAGCTTTTATGACCCAATTGACCCGAAAAGGAATCAAGTTTGTGTGGAATGAAGCCTGTGAGTCATCTTTTCAAGAGTTGAAGACAAGATTGACTACAACTCCAGTGTTAGTGATACCTGAGCGTGGCTTAGGTTATATGATCTATTGTGATACTTCACGTGATGGGTTGGGATGTGTGTTGATGCAGGATGGTAGAGTAGTGGCTTATGGGTCTCAACAGTTAAAGACTCATGAGTACAACTACCCTACTCATGATCTGGAGTTAGCGGCAGTCGTGTTTGCACTGAAGTGTTGGAGACACTATTTGTATGGTGAGAGATTCAAGGTATTCTCGGATCACAAGAGTCTCAAGTACCTTTTCTCCCAAAAGGACTTTAATAACAGACATAGATGATGGGTTGAATTCTTGGAAGATTATAATTTTAATTTGCAGTACCATCCGGGCAAGGGAAATGTGGTAGCAGATGCCTTAAGCCGGAAATCTCGTGGAACTTTGGCTGGATTAGCTATTTGGAAATGGAAGATGCTTAATGATCTGGTGGAGATGGGATTGTATTATGTTGACGATGATGGTTGCGGTGACTCGGCATTCTTGTTTAGCCTTGTGGCACAGCCTACTCTTGTTATAAAAGTGATTGAGTCACAGCGACAGACTCGGATTTAGATGCCATTCACACTTTAATCTCCAATGGTGAGACAGTGAAAGATTGGACCTTACATGTAGATTATACGGTTAAGGGGTTTGTTAGTGGTTCCCACAGTTTGTCGGGAAGACATCTTATGGGAGTTTCACACTTCTCGCTTTGCAGTTCATCCAGGTGGTACTAAGGTGTATCATAATTTGAGGCGCCAGTATTAGTGGAATGGGATAAAGAAGGATGTTGCGCAGTTTGTGGCTAGATGCCTTACCTATCAACAGGTAAAGGCCGAGCATCAGAGACCGGCAGGTTTGTTGCAAACATTGCCTGTAGCGCAATGAAAATGGGAATATATTGCTATAGATTTTGTGACAGGTCTTCCAAGGTCACGGAGAGACAATGAGGCCGTATGGGTTATCATTGACAGACTGACCAAGACGGCTCACTTTTTGCCTATTAAGGCAACAGATGATGCAGAGACACTTGGTGTGCTTTACGTGAAGGAGATTGTAAGGTTACATGGAGTCCCAGTAACCATTGTATCGGACAGGGATGCCAAGTTCACTTCGAAGTTCTGGGAAGGACTTCAAGCAGTGTTTGGCTCAGCGTTGCATCTTAGTACGACATTCCATCCACAAACAGACGGCCAGTCGGAGCGTACTATCCAGATCTTAGAGGATATGCTTCGGGCATGTATGCTTGACTTGGGTGGTAGTTGGGAAGATCATCTACCGCGGGCGAGACAGCTGCCTTAGGACCCGACATTGTACTCAAGACTACTGAGAAAATTAAGTTGATCAGACAGAGATTGCTCACAGCTCAGAGCCGATAAAAGAGCTATGCGGATAGGCTAAGATGACCGCTATTTTTTGAGGTGGGAGACCATGTTTTTCTGCGGGTTTCTCCACGGAATGGTTTGATGAGGTTTGAGAAGAGTGGCAAGTTGTCACCACGATTTATTAGACCGTTTGAGATTTTGGACCGTGTTGGAGAAGTTGCCTACAGACTTGTTTTACCACCACAGATGGACAAGGTTCACAATGTTTTTCATGTATCGATGCTACGGAAGTATGAACCGGATCCATCTCATGTTTTGGATTGGGTTGACGTGATTGTTGATGAAGATGTCTCTTATGAATAGGGTCCTGTGTAGATCCTTGACACACAGTAGAAGGTGTTAAGGGGGAAAATGGTGCAATTAGTGAAAGTTCTTTGGAAGCATCACGGAGTTGAGGAGGCTACTTGGGAGTTTAAACAGCAGGTTCGCTCCAAGTATCCAGAGTTGTTCTCTCCCCCAAGTATGGTTTGATTTCGGGGACGAAATCCTTTTAAGTTGGGGAGATTGTGATGTTTCCAATTTTTAGCATTTTTCTAATTTTTCAGAATTTTTTTAATGCGAGGGCAATTTTGTATGGGATTTCAGTTGGGTCCATTTTCATCATAATTAATTTTTGTTCATTATGTTCTAAGTGATTGCATGTTAAATGTGCATTTATATGTGTGTAAGGTGTAAAATGAATGTTTAAAGAAAAAGAGAAAATAAAAAGTTAATGGCGGGACCCACCACTATCATTTTGTGGTCTAGAGATCACTTGGTTTCTCATCACTCTCTCAATCTCCCGTAACTCTCTCTTCTCCCCTTCTCTTTTTCATTTTTCTTTTCCTTTTAAGTTCCAAATTTCAAATCAAGATTACTCCCTCCATATTTGGAGTTTTTGGAAGCCGTTTGAGGCAAAACGAAGCCTACGACGAGACCTTCGTATCCATACCAACAATTTAAGTTTTGGTACTCCCTTGTGCATTCAAATTTGGAGACCCATTTAAAGGGTTTTGCCCAATTTTAAGGTAGAGGTCTTTAATCTACGAAGTCTTATGCTTTAGTGAGTTAATTTACTCGATTTATGTACTAGCATGCTTAATTGTTGTGATTATAGTTACTTTGACTTGATAGAACATGTATGAATGTATGAGGATGTGCATTAATTTAAGTTGTATGATGAACATGCTTGTATGTGAGTTTCTAAGTCTACTATGTTGTTAACATGCTATAAATGATGTATGAGAACATGTTTAATTGTGAGAAATCTCTTAGTATTATTGCAATGAAAGCATGAGACTCATATGCATAACATTGGGCTTGCATGAAGGGAATTGTTTTCAAATGAAAACGGGGAATTTTGGGAGAATAGTTTTGATGAATCGATTTTATGAAAACCCGGTCGCCGCGGGGGTACCAAAGGGCCGGAGGGTTAATATAGCCTAGAGGGTACTAGGGAGATTGCCCTAGCGTGGTTGAGCTAGCTGGGCCTAAAATGACGCCACAGGGGTAGCAAGGGTCAGGGACACTAGCCAATCCTTCTCTCGTGTCGCTACGGGGTCACCAAAAGGCGGGTTATATTAACCGTTTGAAAGTGATCGTTTTGAATGTTGAAAATGGGGAGTGACATTGGCATACATTGCATTCCATGGTATTTCATTATTTATATTAAGATTAACTATTATGTTGAGCTTTCTCGACATAGCATGACCCTAAATCCTATTGTTCTATTCTTTGGTTGGATTCACGGGGACACAAGAAGCGTGTCTTAAGTGCCACCTACTGAGCTTTTGCTCACCCCATTATACTTATCGTTTTTCAAGTCATGGAAAGGAATTGGCGGATGATAATCCACCACAAAACTGACAGAGTATTGGAAGCCTTCATTTTGCTATTTTGTACTTAGGCTATACTTTTGTATATCTATTGTTTTGGAAATGTAATTAAGTCACCGATTATGGCCTTATAACATAAGAATGAAACTAAAATAATTAATGTGTATATCTCCATGTAATCGTAGCAAGTGATGTTGTAAGATGATTATATGATGGTACTCATGTTCATGATCGTAGAATGTCTCATTTTGATGGTTTAGCTCAAGTATGAATCATTCTAAAGTCTCCGTCTTAGTTTTTTTTCCTTTCATTTCCTTTTGGTAGGAGGTTAGTTGCAGCTTCAGGGCTCGAGAGAGCCATTTCGGTCAACCGAAATGGTGCATCGGTCGACCGAACTTGGTAAATGCTCTCAGGATCTCCTGTTTCGATCGACTGAAATAGGGCTCGGTCAACCGAACCATCTTCATACTCTCGGTATCTCACCTTTCGGTCGACCGAAGGGTTATTTCGATCGACCGGCTCTAGTGGGTCTGCTTCGGCCAATCGAAGCTCCACTTCGATCAACTGAAGTGCATCTGTTGGGCTGTTTTGCTCTTCTTTCCTCATCATCCTACTCTTGGGTTATATTTTGAGTCTTTAGGAGGACTTAGTTTGATCCTACGTTTAATGTTTTGACGTTAGAAATGATGGGTTTGACGTAGATGTCCTCGAGTTCGGGCAAGGATCCGGTAACGGTCATGATCCACGGATTCGAGTCGTTACACTTCGTTCCATGCAAATTTAATTCCCTTATGGGTCAATCTAATCATAGGAGCTACCAAACGGGAAAAATCCTTCACAAATCTCCGCTAGGCTAAGGAAACTGTGGCTCTTAAAAACATTCTTGGGATGTTCCCAATTTAAAACTGCCTCTATCTTTAAAGGATCAACTGAAACCCCGCCTTCCGAAACAATATGCCCCAAAAATTTTACTTTTTGTAACCAAAATTCACACTTCTCATATTTGGCATACAAACGGTGCTCACATAAAATCTGCAACACCATACTCAAATGGACCTCGTGTTCCTCTCGAGTCCTTGAATATACAAGAATGTCATCCACGAAAACTATCACAAACTGATCCAAGTAATCGTGGAATACACGGTTCATTAGATCCATGAATACCGCTGGCGCATTAGTAAAACCAAAAGGCATAACAAGGAACTCATAATGTCCATATCGAGTACGGAATACCGTCTTTGGGATATCTTCAACCCTAACCCGCAACTGATAATAGCCTGACCTCAAGTCAATCTTTGAAAAATAGCTTGTTTTCTTCAACTGGTGAAATAAATCATATATCCTTGGTAAAGGATACTTGTTTTTGATGGTGGCATGATTCAATTTTCGGTAATCAATGCATAACCTCAAAAAACCATCTTTCTTCTTAGCAAACAAGACTGGTGCGCCCTACGGTGACACACTTATTCGGATGAAGCCTTTCATCCTCAAATCATCGAGCTGCTTCTTTAATTCTTCCAACTCCACTGGTGCCATATGATATGGTGCCATAGAAATTGGCGCAGTACCGGGCATTAAATTAATAGTAAACTCCACCTCTCGATGTGGAGGCAACTCTGTCAAGTCCTCCTGAAAAACATCCAAAAAGTCACGAACAACTGTCGGATAAACCCCTTCCACAACATCATCTTCTTCAGCTAGAAAACTAGCCAAGAAGTAGTCACCACGACCTCATCCATGGATTCCATAAAATGATGAAGTATGGGAATCACTCCGATTTCCCATGAAAAAGAAGCAATCTCCTTTGGGAGTACAAACTGTGACTCTTCCTCTGAAACAATCGATCGTAGCACGAAATGAAGCTAACTAATCCATCCCGAGAATGACATCAAAGCCAGTCATCTCTAGGAGGTTGAGATCAAACACAAAAGTCCGTCCAGCGATCATGATGGAACAATCTCTCACAACTCTACTCAAAGACCCTGAAACCCCAACTGGTGTGTTAACACATAACGCCTGATCCATACAACTGACCTCTCACCCCGATGTAAGTGCAAATAACAATGAAATAAAGGAATGAGATGCACCAGAGTCAAACAAAACATGGGCCCAAGAGCCAAACACTGGAAAGATAACTCTGAGAACTGATGGACCAGAAAATGCATCGGCCTGAGCAAGTGCAAAAACACGTCTTTGTGGTGCCTGTGCCTGAGAATTGCCAACCTGAACACCTAACTATTGTACTAATATTGTAGGAATATCCTTCCTAGCTAGCCATGAACCTTGAGAAGACATAGCAGACTGTGGTGGCGGTGGTGGTCTGAAACCTGACTGAGTTGTAGCCGATTGTGACGGTCTCTACTGTAACCCTCTGCCACTGCCTGTGCCTGCTCCCTGATTCGATAATCCTTAACCCTATGGCCCTGCTGGCCACAACCAAAGCAAACCCCAGAACTCACCGATGCCCGTGGACACTCTGCTTTGTAGTGACCTGGCTGATTATAGCGAAAACAGACGACACCACTTCTAGCAGACCCTGCTGGCACAGGGGTAGTAGGAACGGATCGTGCAGACTACTGCCCCTAGAACTAAGATGGACCACCCTTGTTATTCTTCCATAACTGTCTCTTTGAAAATGATCATGCATTCCTCTTCTGTCTCCACTGTTCATTTCCTGCATTTCTATCAT